AAATTAAGTCAAAACCACAGTGAGATTATCACCTCACACCTGACAGAATGGCTATCATCAAGAAGACAATACGTAACAAGAGTTGGCCAGGATGTACAGAAAAGGGAAGTCTTGTGCACTGTTGGTAAGAATGCAAATTGGTGCAATTGCTATGGAAAACAGTATAGAGGTTTCCTCAAAAAAATTAAAAATAGAATTACTATATGAACCAGCAATCCCACTTCTGGGTATATATCCAAAGGAAATTAAAACAGGATCTCAAAGAGATATCTGCTCTCCCATGTTCACTGCAGCATTATTCACAATAGCCAAGATATGGAAACAACCTAAGTGTCTAGCAATGGATGAATGGATAAGTAAGGTATGATATATATATATATATATATATATATAATGGTATATTATTCAGCCTTGGGAAAAAAGAATGTTCTGCCATTTGCAACAACATAGATGGGCCTTGAGGGTATTATGCTAAGTGAAATAAATCAAACAGGGAAACACAAACAATACATGATATTACTTATATGTAGAATCTAAAAAAGCCTACATACAAACAAATAGTACAGTGGTGGTTACCAGGGACTAGTGAGGGGAAAACTGGGGAGATGTCAGTAAAAGGGTACAAAATTTACAGGAAAAAAAATAAATTAAAAGAGAATATTTGGTTAAAATGATTACTCGTTGAAGGGGAAAGAATTCACTTTAATCTGTAGTTTACCATTTTTAAGGCCTCAATTTTTCTATCATGTTCTAGGTATTATGACAAATATTAATGTAACACTGAAATAAAGAATATACTGTGCATAAATATGTATTTATCATATATTTCAGTAGTTTTTTGTCACATAAAAAGCCAATCTTACATTAGTAATGTGAAGTCTTACAAGCCATAAGTTTTTAATGGGTGAAACAACAAATCATTTTGAAGTATATCTTACTACCTGAAAGAGAATACCTATACCATCAGAAAATGAAATATTCCTGATAATAGTAACCACCATCATACCAAAAATCCTTAACTCCAAGTGCTTTATTTGCTCCTGAACACACAACCTCTGTGGAGATAAACATGGATCACCCAAATGAGAACAAGCAACAAGTCATTCACCACCACTGCTTGCATTTGGCAGACATTTAAATTAAAGGCAGGTGGTGGACTGGGAGAGCTTTGTGGTGGTAAAAAGGGAAAGTCTATCCTGATGGGAGATTGTTGGCATGGAAAAGGTGGATCTTCCTTAAATTCCATAAACTCAGAGTGGTAATAGAGGAACAGTAAAATACTAATCTCAAAATCACAAAAAAAGTGAATATCAAAGCCTTAGTTTAGCCTGAAAGTGTTTAGTCTGTATTTATTCAAATACTATACATGATACCAGATTCCAATGCTTGCTTTTGAGGAAAAAATTTTATTGATATTAGCTAAGTAATTGATTTATTATATTTTTTGAATTCATAAAAATCTATTGTCCATACAGAATTACTACATCTAAAAAGCTATTATAATTGTAAATATTTCCACATTTTAAATGATTGCTAGATATTTTAGAACTCAGAGATAACCAATGCTTTATAAAGGTAACAACTACTACTTTATGAGGTAAAATTCATTATCTCAACTAGACTTTTATGCAATTTTCATAACATACTAAACCCCTCACAGGTTGTATGTAATTTTTTTTTCCTCATTTTTGATCTTTGACCAGACATTTTTAATGCCATTTTTCTTTAATCATTACAGAAGATTTTAACTACCAGTCTTATTTTAAAGCAAAGGAATTCATATGTAACTAGATTCTTAAATGGGGCATAATTCTTTCCATTTTACCTTTAAAGAAGACTAAGAAAAGTTTGAAATTGAACTATGAGAAAAGAAATGAGATGATCTGGGAGTTATGCTTTGGACAGGGTAATCTTAAGCAAAAAGTGAGGTGAGTAGACATGACCGTGGTTAAGTTAGGGAAGATGGCAGAGTGATTCAATGTGCTGTCTCTGCCATATGTATCCCTCAATTACTAGTAACATTTAAGGACCTACGTTTTCCATCTATAAACCAAGGGGCTTGGAATATATAATCTCTAACTTCCTTTTACAGTAAAATAATGATACCATATGAATCCATGGATCTAAAAATCTGAAAGTTAAGTATGAATTAATGGAAACAAAAATGAATATCATACCTTTATATCATCTTTAATCTTTGTTTTATGTTTGTTTCGTTTCCTGGCTTCACGAAGACCTGTTTGAGTAGGCCCTTCTGCTGCATTTTCCCTTCCACAATTAGGAGCAACTACAAGATAATACAATTTATTCTTAATATTTATACTGTTTGTCAGTAAGAAATATGATTATAAGCAAAAGGTATGAATAGCAAAGTCATAATGATACATATATATTTTAAAGTATTAAATTAATAACACTAAAACCATAGCAAAATACTTTGAGTTCTAAAATGCATTTCCCAAAAATGCAGGTGACATTACTGCAAGGTTAGTGAAGTTGTCTGATGAGGCAGTCAGAGAGCATAGCAGCCAACCTCCAATTACATCATATCCAAATTCCTGTTGTTATGAGGTTTTGGGTGTTTATAAACTAAGGTGAAGAAAGTCAAAGGAGAGAATGGTAAGCAATGAGAAAATTTTCAAAGTGGAACTGAATTATAAACAAGAGATTCTTAAAAGAGTATTGTATTAATGAAGTATTATTCTCTATGCTTCTTGATGTTAAGAAATACAGAAAGGAAAATACAGAATAGTCCAATATAGTTGTAACATTGGTCTCCAAACTTTCCTGCACATAAAGAGCAGTCCTAATGGAATCATCTGAGAGAAAAATAAAAGTTATAGGAACAGTCTCTTTCTTTTTCACATCTTTCCATATGCATATATATCATTTTTTCCTACATTTCCGAAAAGCAAGCTGATTTCAAATACACACATACCTCAGAGATACTGCAGGTTTGGTTCCAGACCACTGCAATAAAGTGGATATTGCAATAAAGCAAGTCAAATAATGAATTTTTTGGTTTCTCAGTGCATATAAAAATTATGTTTACACTATACTGCCTGTAGTCTACTGAGTGTGCAACAGTGTTATGTCGAAAATAACAATGTACATGCCTTAATTAAAAATACTGCTAAAAAATGCTAACCATCATCTGAGCTTTCAGTGAGTCAGCAGATAAACTTCATACAGGAGTTATCTAAACCATCAGCTTATTTTAATAGAGATGTCAAAGATAAATAGATAAATAGGTAAACAGTTATGAGTAGAATGGAGCATTAGAAATTAACTGGTGCAACCACCAACCCAATGCATGAAGTTCCTCAACCATTAAGCCTTCTTCTATATATTATTATGATATTACTTATATGTAGAATCTAAAAAAGCCTACATACAAACAAATAGTACAGTGGTGGTTACCAGGGACTAGTGAGGGGAAAACTGGGGAGATGTCAGTAAAAGGGTACAAAATTTACAGGAAAAAAAATAAATTAAAAGAGAATATTTGGTTAAAATGATTACTCGTTGAAGGGGAAAGAATTCACTTTAATCTGTAGTTTACCATTTTTAAGGCCTCAATTTTTCTATCATGTTCTAGGTATTATGACAAATATTAATGTAACACTGAAATAAAGAATATACTGTGCATAAATATGTATTTATCATATATTTCAGTAGTTTTTTGTCACATAAAAAGCCAATCTTACATTAGTAATGTGAAGTCTTACAAGCCATAAGTTTTTAATGGGTGAAACAACAAATCATTTTGAAGTATATCTTACTACCTGAAAGAGAATACCTATACCATCAGAAAATGAAATATTCCTGATAATAGTAACCACCATCATACCAAAAATCCTTAACTCCAAGTGCTTTATTTGCTCCTGAACACACAACCTCTGTGGAGATAAACATGGATCACCCAAATGAGAACAAGCAACAAGTCATTCACCACCACTGCTTGCATTTGGCAGACATTTAAATTAAAGGCAGGTGGTGGACTGGGAGAGCTTTGTGGTGGTAAAAAGGGAAAGTCTATCCTGATGGGAGATTGTTGGCATGGAAAAGGTGGATCTTCCTTAAATTCCATAAACTCAGAGTGGTAATAGAGGAACAGTAAAATACTAATCTCAAAATCACAAAAAAAGTGAATATCAAAGCCTTAGTTTAGCCTGAAAGTGTTTAGTCTGTATTTATTCAAATACTATACATGATACCAGATTCCAATGCTTGCTTTTGAGGAAAAAATTTTATTGATATTAGCTAAGTAATTGATTTATTATATTTTTTGAATTCATAAAAATCTATTGTCCATACAGAATTACTACATCTAAAAAGCTATTATAATTGTAAATATTTCCACATTTTAAATGATTGCTAGATATTTTAGAACTCAGAGATAACCAATGCTTTATAAAGGTAACAACTACTACTTTATGAGGTAAAATTCATTATCTCAACTAGACTTCTATGCAATTTTCATAACATACTAAACCCCTCACAGGTTGTATGTAATTTTTTTTTCCTCATTTTTGATCTTTGACCAGACATTTTTAATGCCATTTTTCTTTAATCATTACAGAAGATTTTAACTACCAGTCTTATTTTAAAGCAAAGGAATTCATATGTAACTAGATTCTTAAATGGGGCATAATTCTTTCCATTTTACCTTTAAAGAAGACTAAGAAAAGTTTGAAATTGAACTATGAGAAAAGAAATGAGATGATCTGGGAGTTATGCTTTGGACAGGGTAATCTTAAGCAAAAAGTGAGGTGAGTAGACATGACCGTGGTTAAGTTAGGGAAGATGGCAGAGTGATTCAATGTGCTGTCTCTGCCATATGTATCCCTCAATTACTAGTAACATTTAAGGACCAAGGGGCTTGGAATATATAATCTCTAACTTCCTTTTACAGTAAAATAATGATACCATATGAATCCATGGATCTAAAAATCTGAAAGTTAAGTATGAATTAATGGAAACAAAAATGAATATCATACCTTTATATTATCTTTAATCTTTGTTTTATGTTTGTTTCGTTCCCTGGCTTCATGAAGACCTGTTTGAGTAGGCCCTTCTGCTGCATTTTCCTTTCCACAATTAGGAGCAACTACAAGATAATACAATTTATTCTTAATATTTATACTGTTTGTCAGTAAGAAATATGATTATAAGCAAAAGGTATGAATAGCAAAGTCATAATGATACATATATATTTTAAAGTATTAAATTAATAACACTAAAACCATAGCAAAATACTTTGAGTTCTAAAATGCATTTCCCAAAAATGCAGGTGACATTACTGCAAGGTTAGTGAAGTTGTCTGATGAGGCAGTCAGAGAGCATAGCAGCCAACCTCCAATTACATCATATCCAAATTCCTGTTGTTATGAGGTTTTGGGTGTTTATAAACTAAGGTGAAGAAAGTCAAAGGAGAGAATGGTAAGCAATGAGAAAATTTTCAAAGTGGAACTGAATTATAAACAAGAGATTCTTAAAAGAGTGTTGTATTAATGAAGTATTATTCTCTATGCTTCTTGATGTTAAGAAATACAGAAAGGAAAATACAGAATAGTCCAATATAGTTGTAACGTTGGTCTCCAAACTTTCCTGCACATAAAGAGCAGTCCTAATGGAATCATCTGAGAGAAAAATAAAAGTTATAGGAACAGTCTCTTTCTTTTTCACATCTTTCCATATGCATATATATCATTTTTTCCTACATTTCCGAAAAGCAAGCTGATTTCAAATACACACATACCTCAGAGATACTGCAGGTTTGGTTCCAGACCACTGCAATAAAGTGGATATTGCAATAAAGCAAGTCAAATAATGAATTTTTTGGTTTCTCAGTGCATATAAAAATTATGTTTACACTATACTGCCTGTAGTCTACTGAGTGTGCAACAGTGTTATGTCGAAAATAACAATGTACATGCCTTAATTAAAAATACTGCTAAAAAATGCTAACCATCATCTGAGCTTTCAGTGAGTCAGCAGATAAACTTCATACAGGAGTTATCTAAACCATCAGCTTATTTTAATAGAGATGTCAAAGATAAATAGATAAATAGGTAAACAGTTATGAGTAGAATGGAGCATTAGAAATTAACTGGTGCAACCACCAACCCAATGCATGAAGTTCCTCAACCATTAAGCCTTCTTCTATATATTATTTTTCATAATCATCAGTCATGTTGGGAGTCAGAGTTCCTGAGTTTATGATAGTTTGATACTATCCTTTCCTATTTATAACTGACTGTTATCAACATATGAAAACAAATAATCTTTTGATGTTATGTTTTTGGATTCTTTGTAAAAATGCATAATAAGGAAAAAATATAGGAAGTAATCACACACAAAATTATGTAATATTTTGGTGTGTATCCTCCAAACACTTCTCTTTGAATATACTTTAACAGACATGCCCTTATACTACAAAAATGTTATTATTTCTTAACATTATATTAATATAACATTTTAATGTATTTTCTTATGCATGATTTTTAAAGACTTCCAAGTAGTATAATCAACTATATTTAAACATTGACTTGCGGTTATAGATTAAGATTGCTTGCATTGTTTTTTTCCTCTAGATATGATTGCAATGAACATTCTTGTGCTTAGTCTTTTTAGACAGCACTGAGCATAACTAACATTTCTTTAATGAAATATGAGGAAAGAAACTACTGAATCAAGGCCAAGAAAAAAATTTCAAATATGAAAATGCTTCAAATTTCTTTAAGCTTTAATCAAGAACATAATAATCATCTGGGAATAGTAGGATGTCATGTTTACTAAGAAAATTCACCATTTGGCAGCCTTTCCATATTTCAGGGTTTTCCGTTATTGTTTTTAAATTATATTTATTGAAGTATAATTTACTTGTAATAAAATGAATACATTTTAAGTGTAAGGTTGGGTAATCACCACAAAAATCAAGTTACAGAATATTTGCAAAACCATCACCACAATTACTGTTTTCTGCTGTTACATACCTTACACATACCTTATAAACATTAGATACATTGCTAACATACATGAAAAATACAAAATTTTCAATTTATTGTGTTTTTCAGTATGATAATTTCAATTTCCTTTTTTTTTGAATTACCATTTATCTTCTGAGAATCCCTCTTTACTTATTAATGTCATATTTTACTTTAAGTTCTTGATCATATTCAAAACAGCTACTTTAGCATTTTTATCTTCTCAGTTGAATACCTGGAAATATCAGTGTAGGTTTCCACTGATTTTTGTCTTGATCATGGGTCACATTTTCCTGTTTCTGTAACATATCTAGTATAAATGATATGTTATAAACTCTGCTCAATTTTCTTTCTCTGAAGTGTACTAATTTTTGTTCTAACAGGCAGTTTAATTTTTTGGTGATCACCTTGAAATTGTAGGTTTAATTTTAAGCTTTATTAGGATGAATCCACAGAAAACTCTAAATATTTCCCAAGGCACTCTAACTTGGCAAAATTCAAACTCCAAAGTCTCCTAGAAATTCCATGTAAAGCTTTGTTTTGGTTTTATAGGCAGGGATTTTTTTTATAGGGTGGGTATAGGATGCTGAATGTTATATGGTATTACCAAAGTATTACAGAGGTCTTACCATTCAGACATGGACAGAACTCCAATGTCTCCATCACCACTTAACCTCTACAATCCCTGATCATCTCTTGGTCCTGCAGAATTTCCTCTGGTAAATCTCAGGTAATCTTAACACATGCAGGCAAGTCATCACCTAAGACCTGCAGTAAATCCCTGCACATTGTAGCAGTAGGGTGCTTTCCTACAGATTCTAGTTGCTTCAGCTGCCATGAACTATGATCTTTGCCCTTTCAGTTCATTAGGACTGCCATGCTCTTCTTCACCGCCATCTCCATGGAGCTTGGTTTGGAAATTTCCCCAGACACAAACCCATAGTGAGCGTGGAGCTCAAATTACAAATTTTCGTTCTGCAACTTACCTTTTGTGACTTGTGCTGTTTTCCAATGCCTAAACGTAGTTGCCTCTTACGTAACCTAGTTTTAGTTATTTTTGGGGAAAAAGCTTGTATGGTACCAGGTACTCCAACATGGCCAGAAACAAAGTCATCCTATAATGGTTTACCCCTATTTTCTCTAAAATTAACCTATACAGTATCATATCTATATTTCCTCTTGGTCTTTTAATTAACATTTTAATTTGTGAAACACTTACTACGTATTTTACTCACTTTTAAATATTTCTAAAGTTTTGAGCTCCGGTAAGGTTAAGAACCACAAAACAATATTAAATTAGAGTTTTATCACATTTTACTTTTACCTCTAATTTCAGGAACATGGTAACTATGCCCTAATTCCATATCCCTCAGTGTTGCTTGAAGTCCAGAAATCTAAAAAATAAATCCAAAGATACAGGGTTATATACACTAAATAACTTTAAAAAGTTAAATAAAATGTAATGTTTCAATATTGGTTGCAAAATATAAAAAACACTAATCTCTTTTAATTAATTTCTAATGTATTTTTTTAATTATAGATGAATTATAACAAAAGGAAAACATAACATTCAGTTTAAATTCACTCCACAAGCAATTATTAAGTATCTATTATTGATAAGCATCTGAAACATTTATTTCACAGCATAGTTTCCTGAATACTCATTGCACATTTTGAGTGATAATCATTCAGTTCTCTACTTTGAGAGAGGTTTCTCCTTTTTGAAATTGTTTCACAACTTAATTCATCTTCATGTCCATAAACGATGAGGTTAGTATTAGTTGGGAAGTAAAATATGAATAGACTGCTGTTATTCTAAAAACTCTAGCTCACTTTCCACCCACAGACACTTCCTGTTTTATTAAAGATGTTTTATAATTAAGAACATTTGTTAGTTTGGTGGCATACCATTTACCTGTATTTTCTGAACAGACTTGAATTAAAATTTCAACCTTAAAAAGGTCTCTCATTGTATATGACTACACCAACATTTACTAATAAAATATAGATAATAAATTAAAAACTATAGATTAGTGCTTACGATATACATGGGTTAAAGAAAAAGTGAAAAATGTATACCTACTCTTGGATGCCAAATAGATTATAAAATTTTTAAATATACTTATTTAGAATAGTGTAAGATTTACATAAAAGTTGCAGATATAATACAGAATTCTTATATATCCTGTACCACATTCCCCTGTTAACATCATGTATTACCATGGTACATTGTCACAAGTAAGGAACCAATATTGATAAATTATTATCATCAAAAGTCCACATTTTATTCTAATTCCATTTATGTTTTCTTAATATCCTTTTTCTGTTCCAGGATCTCATCCAGGATACAACCCTACATTTAGTCCTCTGTTTTAGCCTCCTCGGAACGGGGACAGTTTCTCAGACTCTCTCTCATTTTGACAACTTCAATGATTTTAAGGAATGCTGGTTAGGTAATAGTTTGAAGAAATCCATAAAGTAGGTTTGTCTGACGTTTTCTCACGGTTAGATTGGGGGTATGGGTTTTGAGGAGGGAGATCACAGAGAAGAAGTGCCATTATTAGCACACAACGGTATATGCTATCAACATGATTAAATGTTGACGACATTAACCTTGATCACCTTCCTGAAGTAGTATGTGCCAGGCTTCTCCACTGCAGAGCTAATTTTTTCCCTGTTCCAATATACTTGCAGAAAGACAGTAAGTGCACCCAACACTTAACAGCTGAGGTGTATCCTAAGGGAAAGATTGTATACATGGCATTTGAGATTCTTCTTTGAGGGAAGTATTTTTCTTCTCCCCCATTTATGTACTCAATCACTTATTTATAACATTATGAACTCACAGATACTTATTTTACACTTCAGGTTATAATTCAATACTACATTTTTTAATCTGTGTTCCAAATTTGGCTATTGAGAGCTCTGTCAGGCTGATTCCTATAATTTATGAATCTGACCCTATTTTTATGTTTGACTGCTCTAACAGCTTTTAAGCCTTACCCCTCCCGTTTCCCTTTGTGCCCTGCATCTTGAGAAGCTGATAAGAATGCCTGGGTGCTTCCCTCCTTTAGTGTGGCAGGAGATTCAGACTATATAAGCTCTCCTCCCACAAGACAATTCTCATCCTCCCCAGACTGTAATCACAATAAAAACCCCAAGGGAGTCTCCTTTCCTTTGCTCTCTTAAGCCATTTCAGATCTGCATGGTAGGCATATGCTGTTCTCCCCAGGGAACTCAATTATGTAAGTAATAGATGTTTTCATACCGTCTTGGTGTGTGTATGATGTCATCAGTCTCAATATCCAAACCCAATTTTGTTGGTGGCCCATTTACCTCTGCAGATACCACATAGTTACTTTGTTTTTTGGCCATACCCCATTGTTTTGCTGAGTATTTTCTTTTTTTCATTTCATTCCTTTCTTGGGTTTCTGTCTTCCTTCTTTCTTTCTTTTTTTCTTTTTTAATTCTGAGCATTTCCTAACTTAAGGGCATAACAAGATGGTCCAGAGGCTGGAGGTTCATCTTGTACTTTCCCTGCCCAGTCTACACTCAGCTTCTTCTCCAAGGCGCCCTACTTCCTCTTGCTGGAGGTGGTTGGAAACCACTATCTGAGCACTGGTACTTCTGCTACCAGACTCTCATTCCTTCTTGACCCTCTAAGCAGACAGACCTAGAAATATATACACTTTTTTCTTTCTTTTTATTTATTTTTATTTTTTATTTTGGTATCATTAATCTACAATTACATGAAGAACATTATCTTTACTAGGCTCCCCCCTTCACCGAGTAGCACCCACATACCCCTTCACAGTCACTGTCCATCTGCGTAGTAAGATGCTGTAAAATCACTACTTGTCTTCTCTGTGTTCCACAGCCCTCCCCGTGCCCCGCACACACTATACATGCCAAATCGTAATGCCCTCTTTCTTTTTTACCTGTCCTTATCCCTCCCTCCCACCCATCCTCCCCAGTCCCTTTCCCTTTGGCAACTGTTAGGCCATTCTTGGGATCTCTGATTCTGCTGCTGTTTTGTTCCTTCAGTTTTCCTTTGTTCTTATACTCCACAGATGAGTGAAATCATTTGGTACTTGTCTTTCTCTGCCTGGCTTATTTCACTGAGCATAATACCCTCTAGCT